CTCATTCATTCACTCCCTAACTCTCAGTCACTCACTCACTCTCATTCACTCAGTCTCTTACTTACTCATTCTCTTTCACTCACTAACTCACTTACTCTCTTTCACTCACCCTCTCACTCTCACCCACTATCTCACTCTCTCACTCATTCACTCACTCACTCACTCACTCTCTCACTCACTCACGCACACTCTCTCGCATGCTCTCTCTCACCCATAAACTCACTGACCCTGACTCACTCACTCCCTTACTCTCAGTCACTCACTCACTAACTCACTCACTCTCTCACTTACTCATTCTCTTTCACTCACTAACTCACTTACTCTCTTTCACTCACTCTCACCCATTATCTCACTCACTCACTCTCTCACTCTCACACACTCACTCACGGACTCATTCGCTCACTCTCGCTCACTCACTCTCCCCCACTCTCTCACTGGCTCCCGCCCTGACACGCGCGATTATCCAAACGCGGCGTTAACGTTCGATTTTCGTTTCTGTACGCGCAAGCACGGCCGCCCCTTAATGAGGGGGATCTCATCGACGTGCCGCGTGTTTTTTTTTTCCACGGTCGCGTGTAACCGCGCGTAACACGTGTGCGCGCGTGCTCGAGGGTACATCGCTCGCGACGAGATTGAACGCGTCCCGTTGAAAGCTGTACAAGGGGATTTCAAGTGACGGCTACAAATATGGGCGAGTTGCACGGGGTGACCGTGTTACGTATCGTCAAACCATATACGTTATTCTGTAGAATGAGAAAAAAAAAATGAAAAAATACGCACAAATATACATGTACAAAAGCAGAGGCGAACTTCACGAGGGATTTTAACATTTATTAAAGAGGAAGTTTATCGCCGATGATAACGTTCGCGAGGTCACGGGTTTACCTATAGAAACGCGGTGTCGCTGAATTAATCGACCCTTTGTAGAATTACGTGATTTGGCCCGCTAATTTGATCGTGCACGCTGCTTTTGTTTCATTCCGCTGCGGGGAGAGCACAAACGATACTCTGGCTTCGACGACAATAACCGTGATATAGCTGAATGCACAGACAATTACTGTCGACGATATTACCGTTTCATCCGCCCTACTGTGTTCTTTCAAATTCTTCAATACCACCATTTACTTTGATCCTTAGACTTAAAATTCTGAAACATTCCACTAACCTGTATCCTCTAATTAACAACACCAACCCTATTCGACACAAAAGTGTTTTACTGCAAAAACTCTCTAAACAATACTCAGCAACGCAGCAACAAACAGAGACAGAGATAGAAAGCTATTATTCACAGAATCGACGAAAGCTACCGGTTATCGAGTTACCCGGAATCTCAATTGAATTTGCTCGTAAACAAGAAGAACGGCGGGGAAAATTTTCCTTTACGCAGGCGTAGTTCCTCTTAATAACCGTTTTACGGCGGCCTTCCTCGGCAGCGACAAACTGCGTTATACGCGTACTAATTTAACCGTATTTCCCGTCGTCGTCGTTCGACGTGCGCGCGAGTGAGCAAGTATGCGCTGCACAGGAAGGGAAGAACGCCCGCGGGAGTAGCAGATGCACCGATGCACACCAACATACATCTGCACTCTCCTCTACAATGTATTCTATCCGTGTACACATACTTACACACAACCCTGTATACAGTTATGTACGAGAACACACACAGAGAAATTCATGGAAAGCAGCAAGCTACGGTGTGTACGTATGTATAAATGCAAGTGGTAGAGATGGCGACGCTGCATAGCTGTAAACCGTAGTTGGCGCAGGTGTATCGCGAGCCCGTAGAACGCAGGAAGCGGTGGACATAAACGTCTTTCCGGCACATCCACTCGTGTGCACACACACGTTGCACGATGAACCGGCGATATATATTCGTGGCGATGAACTCTTAGCGATGCCAGAACCGGTATCCGTGTATCGAAATTCTGTTTATCAAATAGTACCGTTCCATACATAATGCACCGTTTCCCTGCTGTCCACCATTTCCCCTTTTCTATTCGACGTCCACGCGTTCCGAGTGTGATCGTCGAAAAACACGCTACCCCGGAATTCCGGGACAAAGCTCCGTGCTCGAGATAGCCTGGCATCAGCTGCGTCGGAGATGCTCTATCAGATTTGCCTGGTCGAAATAGGGAAGCGGAGAGAGAGATAGTTGTGAAAGGAGGAAACGAGAGGAGAAACGGTATGGAGGAAATGATACGAGCCAGGGTAAAGGGGAGATGCTGTGGTAAATGTTGCAATCGCGCGACCATTCAACCATCCTCGATGCCCCGTTCGTTCGCGTTTTATTCTCGTTAGGGAAGATGGTTTGGATTGTCATTAGTTTTTGGTTCTGCAGTTTTTCTTGGTTGTTCGTTTTTCAGACGTTTTATGAGAGACTTCTTAAACCTTTCGCTACGGCAGATTTTAACGCGCAACGTGGCTGAGTGAGGGTAAATTTTTAACTACGGCTGCGAAATTGGGCGCAGCGTTTTAAAATTCGGTTTATTGAATTAAGGTGGAAGTGCGTGAAGGATGAAATTAAGTATTGAATTAAGGTGGAAGTGTGCCGAAAGACTTCGATAATGTAGTGCGAGGACATTTTCGAAACGCATGTAGGCGCCAATAGTAACGAAAGCAATTTAATTTTCTTAGCTTTAAGAGGAGGGATTGATATAGAAACTTACGGTTTTGTTGCTCAAATAATTTGTTATTAGTAAAAATAATATTTGTTTCATACATTCACACGAATGTTTGTTGTTAGACCGAGGCGAGCTCACGTAAATGTGTAAGATTCAACACCTTCGAAAAAATATATGACATCTATGAACGGATATCACTAGTGAAATAACCGCTATTGCACTTTATTAGTATGTCGCGTCGTGCGTTTACTTTACGCGATACTGGCTGCGTAGATTTATACAAATGTATCAAAGCAAAAGACTCGCTATGATTTACATATACTTCTCATATAAAAAGCTTCAACTCTCGATTATTTCTGGCGAGTGCAGCTCGTCATTGTCAGTTTGCTCGAGAAAGTTCACGACGAGCTGGACTCGTCATTTCAGTTCAAGGGGTTAAGGGTATTTGAACGAAAAATTCTTTACCAATCTATCTGACTGGCTGCTAAATTAAGAAATCTGTACCAAACGCTTTGCAACATTTTAATGTATGTTTTATAATACAGAGGTCGTTTTACCGAGTCGAACTCTGAATAGAGAGAACACTTTTACAACACAGAGTCCATATTACCCAGTCAAACTCTAAATAATAACGAATCAAAGAGCAGTACAAAACACGCAACTAATCAAAATGACGAGAATACTTGAGCCAAAGCTTTAGAGATCGAAAAGAAGAGTGTTCGAGACTCGGTACAGTCTCTGGAAGAAATATAGCGTGGAGAAGATACAGTATGAAAAAGTCATACTGTAATAAGTCAACGTGGAAGATATGTAGTACGGGTTTGAATAGAACGAGATCGTATAAAGTTCACCTGTACCGTTTTATTCTCTGCTAAACACGTTTTATTTGAAATTCTACCTGCTAAGGCCCGATCGCTGTATCGAGCGAGGAACGATAGCCGAAAAATCGATCGGCTTTGTTTCGAAGGATTGAAACTTCTCTCCGGCGGTTACCGAGCGAATTACCCGTTCATAAATCTCTCGAATTGCCCGGACATTTTTCAGATATTACACAGAGGTTTTCGCGCGAGTTGAGCGATGAACTCGACGCATCGCTCTGTGAAAAATGCAAATGATTCCGCGTCAGACCCTCCTGAGCGGTAATAACTGACAAGACGAAGATCGAATATGATCGATCCTGGCGTTATTGCTATATCGTCTATGCAGCCACTCTCCTCCTCATCCTTCGAACGATGCTTTATAACAAAATGAAAGTTTCCCTCGGTGTTTACAGGCTATACGCGTCTCTGTACGTGTGTGCATGCATCCACGTATGTGTACGTAAACGGGGTACGCAAGGTTTCGTGTATTTTGCAATATAAACTGCTTACCGCAGATACGCGGTGAATATCGAAGCTGCAAAGCGACCGTTCAAGCTTTTGCTCCGAGCATATAAAAGAATATATATATATCGCGAAACCAATTGTTTCTCTCCCCGGTCGAATATATCCCTTATTGATTCGATTCGCCTTCGCATGAATTATTCGCTTAGAGAAGAATAGCACGGCCACACACGTCCGATATACTTTATCCGTATTTTATTTAGACGCATCGTTCTCTAGATCAACCCCGAGTATTCCTTCTTTCTCCGACCGAGTCCTCTTTCTATTCGCGAAACACGGCTATCTATTTCAGACATATAAGGCGGACAAACTTAATTGCACTATTCTTACACTCTGTTACATCGATACCTATCTCGAAACTTAAACAATTACTCACAACAGCCTATTAACTTCAACCTCTCCGTGCAAGTGGAGACACCGAATCGTACCACAGGCTTTTACGTGCTCTTCAATTCGACGTTCACCTGGATACGCGTAAAACGTTTCTCCCCCTCCCTATTTCTTGCTCAACGACAGACAGGACACACCTTCGTTGCACAGAAGTTACGCAGATAAGGTGTAACGCGGGGTGCTGTGTGTAAAAGCGAGGTTGCGCAATATTACCGGCAATTCGTTATCCTTATTAACGCAGTTTAATTAACCTACACCGACTAGCCGACACACGGTTTCGTTCAAATTCACCCCGTTTCCCTTTGTCGTTGATCAATTTCATTATCCGGTCGAGCCAACTCTGATATCTCCAATCAGAAATTACCAGCTGTAAAATCGGCAAATAGAATTTCAACCCGGGGAAATTTCGTGCGACGAACACGGTGAATTATCGTGCGTCTGTTGAACGTCTTCCATCCTGGAAGCCTTCTCAATTTTCCACATGTCTAACCGTCGATCCTTCTAAACGGAACATGTCGCGTGATCCTATGTTACAGGACGGGGAGTGGTGCTGGATAGTCAGGGTCCAGTGTTGATCTCTGAGCCACGCTCGTCGGTGGAATTCTCGAACGAGACCGGTGCAATGATCCATTGTTCGGCTCAGGGCAGCCCGCTGCCAAGGATTGATTGGCTTATGGGAGACGGCTCACCGGTCCTACCTATACCACACATACGTGAGATGCTGGTGAACGGTTCGATGTACTTCTTGCCGTTCGGAGCGGAGGCCTACCGACACGACGTCCATTCCGCCGTTTACAGATGTCAAGCGTCGAACAGCGTCGGCAGGGTGTTGGGCCGTGAAATCACGGTAAAGGCCGGTGAGTACCTTTATTTTTCCTCTTCCGACCGATTACCTTTCTCCATCTCGTCTATGGAAGTCGAGGAGCTAGGGGAATTATCACCTTGAATAACTCCAGAGGCGCGAGAGCAAGAGAAACGTTTGTTTAACGAAAGTTCTTTGTTACGAAGGAGTGGAGATTTTTTTTTTATGGGCGATGGTTAGGTTAGGTTTTTTTTTATTTGTTTGATAATTGTTTATTGTCAACCCTCGTACGACGAATGCAGAGTCATTTTGATTGGACTGCGATAAAGTCAGGCGGCTCGGATAACGTTTGGTACAGGAAATACACCTATTTTACGTATCAAATGTAGATAAAGAAGAAAAATATCAAATATACGTAGTTGAAAGTAGGTATATTTATACACAATTCTTTCGTGAAACCCGTGTACAATAGAAATTTTGCTGAGTCGAAATGACCGTCTGAAACCATTCGCCTTCCGAGGGTTGATAACAGACCTTGGGATGAATATGAAAACTTGTGACACGTTAGTTAAGGTCATAGAAGGTTGATTATATTGTTATTCCTGGCTTAATTGCTCTTTTAACGACGTCAGGATTTATTGAGGTATATGTGCCTCTGTGACCTTGACTGATCTTGCATTATAGGTCTTTGCTATCGTCTTAAGGGCTGCTATTAACAAATAAATAAAAAACTATGGTATGTCGTTGAAAAAACAGGGATGACCTTTGTTATAATCGTAGGACAGTCCCTTTCATACCAAAGAATTTTTATTGGAAAATTTTTTTTGTTGCTTTCATAGTTTTGTGAATATTTGAGGTGGTAACTCTTCTGGGCCCACCCTGTATTCACGCTTGCAACGCGAATAATGTCATAAGACCATAAGCAAGGCGAAAAAAATTACGAGCAAAAAATTAAGGAAAATGGAAAAGTAGTTCTAAAATTTTGTTTTCTTATAAAACTTGTTTTATATAATAACGACCGGCTGGGTTGAAAGGACCCAATAGCAACTTTCCAAAAACAGCGAATGTTCGATACTGGTAAGTATCATCGGTTGTATAATATTTTTCCAACTTCGTTTTCTTCGTGTATTCTTCTATTCGTATCGGTACGAATCTAATTTTTCCAATCACATTTTAGTTGCATAAAAGTTCGCTTTCAGAAAATCGCTAATGGGTGATTTTGACCAAAGCCAGTCGTTCTAACGAAAACTCGATAGGAGAAAGATTTTCGTGCTTCAGGCGGGAGACTAAAAATCTCGATAATTTGTTTATTCAGATTCGTTCGTATTTTGTTCTAAATTCTACATTTTGATCGAGGATATAACGCAACAGGTATATGATTCTACTTTATATCGATTTTTCATTTCGTATTCGAGAAATCTTGCTTCCACCATGAAACCGGAAGTTAATCTAGTTAAAAGGTTTGCGTTTCGAAATAGTCGGAAGTCTTGGATTGACGTCGTTGGTTACCCGCGTTGTAAGAAACAAAAGTGTGTCGCATCTTTGAAAAAAATGTGTGACAAAGAATCGGCGAGAAAATACTTACGGTAATGTACCCCATTTTCGCGATTCCGAAAATTTGTTTCTCCCCCGTTTCCTCCCACGCTATCCTCCATGGAAATAGTGTAGCATTTTGTGTGTACGTATCTTTGAACGAGGTAGAAAATAGGTGAGGAAACACAACCCGGTAAATGTACCCTACTCTATCTTCCATCTGCGTCTGCCGCGATTCTTAAAAAGAAGTCGTTTCGCCGTTTTTCGTCGTCCTCTTCGAAATCACCGACATTTTGTTGTATCTTTAAAAAACAAGCCACTCTGGTTGCACAATAACGAGAGTACTATTTTTCGCGATATCTCGCGGCGAGTGGAGTGGTTGCTCGCAGAAAAAGGGGGAGGCGTACAGAATCGTTCGGACAAAGCGGCGCTACTCCTTGGACCAGAGAAGTAATCCTGCAAAAAAATTGCGGTGGAACGTTTTCCGGTGTATCGTCGTTGGCAATTATGCCATTGAGAGCGCGACGCAGTTGCGACTAACAGTTACAGGTTGGCGTCGGGTTTCAATGGTCCCCCGGATATTTAGCGTCACGGTCGTCGTCTCGCAAACCAACGAATTTTCTCGCCGCGGAAAAATCGCGAAACCAATCTCTCCCTCTCTCTTACTCACCCACTCACGCACTCACTCACTCTCACTCTCTCGCTCTCTAACTCTCACTCTCTCACTCTCATTCACTCGCTAACTCACTCACTCACTCACTCTCATTCACTCCCTTACTCTCAGTCACTCACTCTCTCCCTTACTCTCACTCTCTAACTTACTCTCTCACTCTCATTCACCACTAACTCATTCACTCCCTTACTCTCAGTCACTCTCTCACTCTCATTCACTCACTCACTCACTCACTAACTCACTCACTCTCTTTCACGCTTTCACTCACTCTCTCGCTCTATTTCTCTCTTCTCACTCTCATTCACTCACTCGCTCACTCACTAACTCACTCACTCTCTTTCACGCTTTCACTCACTCTCTCGCTCTATTTCTCTCTCTCTCTCTCTCTCTCTCTCTATTTCCTCGCGCTATCGAATATCGCGAACGACGCACTGTGTCTCCCCAGTCTGCTATCTCTGCTCGCTCGTAAACGTAATCGGCCGTTCCCGTGGAATGACGTTCTAAACCACGGGCTCGTGGGAGAAGTGGAAGAATGATCGTGGCTCAAGAGAACCGAGCCAACTACATTTATCGCCGCTCCGCTTGCTTCATCCCCCCATGGCTCGCAGATGTATGGCCTGGAACTCGCGGCTAACAAGCGGCACTCACTACCAAGATCAAGATCTGCCCCGCCTCTACACGCGTGCTGCCAACCTTCCACTCGCCCACCAACACGCTAACCTTCTCGTTAGTATTCGTATGCACACTCCTTCACGTCAACCCGGTACACAGTTCCGTATATACAAACGAGAAAATTGATAGAGAGAACGCAAACCGCGCTGTAACGAGCAAAATTGAGAGGAGAAAAAAAGGGAGAGATTTCATTGCTGTTCGAGCAACAATTCAACGACCAACCCTGCCAACAATCACTTATCGCGTTTAGAGGCACGTGAATCGAGCATATTTCTGGAAAGAATCGCGGGCTTGAGGGATGAGGGTGGATTGTACGCAAGAGGCAGAACGGGACTGAAAACGCGAGAGGGAGGCACTAATTACCGAAAGCACGGGTCGCAGACGGGCTGAAAAGGCGGCGTTGTTCGCCAGCAGAATAACGAGTCTGTAATAGAAAATGCGTGGTGCATTATATTGCTATTGGAGTTAACGACTTTGGTTGCGGGTTGCTAGCCGCTGTAGGGAACTCGCGTGGTTTGTAAGCAACCTATCTACATGTCTACCTCCAACGATTAATATTAAAACAACGAGAATCATAGGTAGGAACGGATGTTCTCTGCGAATTATAGAGATGAATATAAAAGTGTGAAAGAAGAGTGTTTAGGCTGAGTGCTTGAGATTATCGCGTAAGAAGAAGACTGCGCCCGAAATTTTAGACGTACACGTGACCGAATGACTGCGAAGAATGTCTGAAACGACTGAAAGGAATAGAGTAACAGAGGAAGGAAGAATGTGCGTGTGCTGGAATAAATAAGGGTGGAAAAAGCGTGGTAGTAGGAAGGAAATCTTCGTGTCGAGAGTTGCGTTGTCCCAGTTCAGTATTGTGTTGTTGAGCGTCTGTATTTTTTAAATCATTCTTACGTTATTACTAGCCAACTTTTTCATTCTCTAATATTTAAAAATAATTTATTGGCTAATGTGAGAAAATCCGTCCCGAAGATCCATCCCTTTGGGTCGCGTAGAGGTGGACAGGGATCGGCAGGACGACGCGTCCTCTCTTCCCGAGACCTTCAATGTACACTTTTGATACCGATTCTGAGTAAAACATATTGTTGTGGAAAACGTAGATACGTTCAGTGAATTTTACGCCCAACCTACGCTGAGTCGGTGTAATTTTCCGACACTAACGTTTAATTCTTGCTTCTCCCATTAAAACGTGATTTTTCTTCCAACAAACGAAGAAAAGTCAGATCCTCCAGTCGAAAAACTCAAAATTGAATTACATCGAACCGTACAAATAAAAACTGTCCTTCTAGTTTATTCAGGTCCTTTTCCCCGTCAACTTCAACGTCTTCTCGCATGATTGTATAACCTGTCTCTTCCATTCCTCGTCCATCTCACCTAGAGCTGTTACGTTCTTCCACGAAAAATAAGAAAAAAATGAAAAAGAAGAGAACGTTAGGAATGTTGACGCGTTTGCAGTTTCTTCCTCCGCGTTTCTCCAGTTGATCTCGTAACTCTCTCTTTTTCTCCCTTTCTTTTCCAGTGGTGCATCAGAAGTACGAGATTCAAGTGAGGGACGCCTACGTTCAACCGGGGAATACCGGTGTGCTGAGGTGCGAAATACCGACGTTCGTTAAGGGGTACGTGGCAGTCACGTCCTGGGTTCGAGATTCCGCTTACAACATCTTCCCAACGCC